TGTCATGGCTCTCCCCCTGTGCAACAACTAAGGAGCTCCAAGTATTTGCCGGATGGAGATTATTGAGGTAAATATCCTAACTGGGATCATGTTTCCTTGTAGAGAAACATTTTCTAATTCTTTCTAGCCCACATCACAACCACAGTGTGAGGATTGTGCAGGACCAATCTTAAATCAACGCAGTGCTAAGATTTGTAAGAGAGGGTCTTTGAAAGATACTCCTTAGTTTCAATGGCTCATTTGTTGAGGTCACTGCACAATTTTTCATACTTCTCAGAGTCTTTTTGGAGTTGGAAAGCCTTTACAAATCTAATAAAACAAACAAATAAAATGTTAGTCTCAAATGCTGATTCATTTGACAGATAAATTTGAACTCTTGTTGCCTTTGATTTCAGAAATGGTTAAAATACATTTTTTCATGAGAATTTGCAACTGCTTTTAAGATTTTGTTTTGTTTTGTTTGGAATTCATGTTTAAAAACTTTAGCTTTCAGGAGCTAAACAAAATGGTAAAATACTTTATGGAAAGTTTAATCAAATTCCTTTCCATAAGAGTAATGTATTTATGGAGCTCCTGAGATAGATTATATAGCAATATATTATCTGAATGGCCACCGTACAGCAAAGAGAGATTTTGATATCTTTGACCACATATTAGAGAGCTCGTCCACTGGGATCCAAACTTAGGAAAAACATATTCTAGGTGAGGTTAGAACCCAAATATGACATATATCACAGATTTTTATCTGACTAAAACAGTACAATTGAGAACTGCTTTGGTCAATCCGACTGGAATAAATTGTAGAGGTCATTAAATATTATAATATTCTTTACAAGGCATTATATTGCTTGATGTGTAACTTATATAAGATATATAATTATGGTAGAAGGGAGAAAAGCTCTAACCTATTATATAATAAACTATATACTGAGCAAAAAGGAAGATTAAAAAAGCTACATAAGTTACCAAAAATAAAATATGAGAGAAAAAAGGATAAAAAAATAATCAAATCTATTATTAGAAAACATTAAAAGGGAAAGACAACAAACAAAAACAATTATAAAACTTAACAACTACCCCAAACTAAAAACAAAACATACACTTGTCTTATTCTGTGTGTATACAAGTAATCCTCAACTTACAATGCAATTGAGTGTCCATTGCCAAGCAGGACAATTGTTAAGCGAGTTCCATCAGATTTCACGTCCTTTTCTGACATGGTTAGTAAGCAAATCACTGCAATTATTTAATTAATAATTAAATAACAACAACAATAATAAAAACAAATTATTATTATTATTAACATAATAATATATATAATATATAATACAATAATTAATAAATATAATAATTAGTAATAATTAATAAATAATAATAATTTGTTTTTAATATTAATAATAATTAATAATTGCAAAACTCGAGGTAAACCACACCAAACTTGATTGCAGGAAATACGACTTCAGCAACAGAGTGGTCAATGTCTGGAATACTCGACCTGACTCTGGTTTCTTCCCCAAACCCCAAAAACTTTAAACTCAGACTGTCTACTATTGACCTCACCCCTTTCCTAAGAGGTCTGTAAGGGGCGTGCATACGCGCACCAATGTGCCTATCATCCCTGTCCTATTGTTTCTTTTTATTTTTCTCATATGTATCCATGTATTCATAACCATGTTTATACTTATACCTGTTATCTAACAATTGCTTGACAAAATAAAACAAATAAAATAAAACAATAAATAAAATTAAGTGAATCATGAGGTTGGTAAGCAAATCTGGCTTCCCCATTGACTTTGTTTGTTGGAAGCTAGTTGGCAAGGTCAAAAGTGGGGACCACACGATCCTGGGACGCTGCAACTATCATAAGTACATGCCAGTTGCCAAGGGCTTGGATTTTGATCACATGACCAAGGGGATTCTGAGATGGTCGTAAGTGCAAGGACCTGTCATAAGTCCCTTTTTTCAGTGCTGTTGTAGCTTTGAACAGTGGCTAAACAAATGGTTGTCGGTCGAGGTCTTCTGACTAGCAAAGTCAATGCGGAAGCCAGATTCACTTAACAACCGTATTACTAATTTAATAACTGCTGTGATTCCCCTTAACAACTGTGGCAAGAAAGGTCCTAAAATGGAGCAAAAACTTACATAACCACCGTCTTACTTAGCAATGGATATTCTGGACTCAATCATCAGTCAAGGGCTACCTATGTCTGATCTGTTAGCATCCTACTACAATGGCCCCCAAAAGAGGTGGCATTCAGCAGGTTCTGACCAATTTTGGAGAACTGGTAGTGGAAATTTTGAGTAGTTCAGAGAACCAGCATATACCACCTCTGACTGGAGATTTTACAGTATCCTTCCCCTGCCACACCCACCAAGCCACGCCCACAGAACTCATAGCAAAAAAAATCCCACCACTGCCCCCAACCTTTTGGGCACCAGGGACCAGGTCCGCGGAGAGATTTTTCCACAGAACAGAGGAAGCAAAGTTTCGCCTATCCTCTCCATCCTATAGATGGGGACTCCGCTTGTTTTGTGCCACCCGGTTTCTGACTTGGGGACCCCTGTCCTAATATGTTCTAGTAATGGATCCAACCCTCCCCTTTTCTTTCATTTTCTATTAATAAAATAAATTGATTTTAGCTTCTCTTGCAAAAACTTAAATTCCTGACTTGGTTGGTAAACCAATTCACTGATCGTAGCCCTCTGCCATTTCCCCTACTCCTTTGTTTCAACATGTAGTTCAAGTGAAATCTACCTGGGCATGAGACATTTCAAACCCTTCTGTGCTCCGTTTGACTTCATGATTTCTGTCCAGGTAATCCTGTCTAACTCTGCTTTGAACGTATTGAAATGAACTCTGTTGAAATCCAGCCTGCATGTGTCATCCAGAACATTCATTGGTTAATTGTGTGTGTGTGGGGGGGGAGTGCAAATCCTGCTCCTGAATAGTTAGACATCCCTGGCTGTGCAATACATTCGCACAGCACCAAGGTAAGGGAATGCATTCAGTTCTTAAGAATTCATATGCTGTGTAAAAAACTTTTTCCCTCAGGCAGCAGTGAGTGGTGCAAGAAGGTAACCTTAGCCTCACCAGACAGCCCCCTCCAGACTGCACCCCATTACCTCATCCCATCAACCATGAGGCTTTGAATTCCTGACCCACATGATGTCACTGTTGTGGCATCTAAAGCAGGCAAATCACACAGAAGAAGAAGAAAGATCTCACAAAAGTGACTCAGATCTGGAATCGGCTCTGAGATTTCCCATGGAAGGACAAAGATACTGTAACCCAGACTAAAAAAGTGAGGAACACACAGGCATCTACATACATGCGTATTCTTTCAGATACAATCTTTTATATTTAAGTTGCAGGAATTTCCAAAAGGTTTTCACTTCTTGCAAGACTTATTTATAATAAAGGCGGGATACAAATAAATACATTTATCGTATTTGTACAGCCGCTCATCTCGCATAGTGACTCTGGGTGGTGAGCATAATAAAACAAAACACAAAAAAGTAAAATACATAAAACCAAAATTTAAGTTTAAAATAAAGTATTGTTTCCTTAAGAATTTCACGTGCCCCATACTTCCCGAAAGAGACAAAAGCAATGTTTCCAAGCCAAGACCTGGAATAAATACAATTACATTAAATAGTTCACAGTACAAGTTTTTAAAAAGGGTGTATACGGTACGTGTGTATTTTCTTTACTAATATTAAGAATTCTAACTATTTGATTGGTAGATCTACATTGTTTTAAACTATAGTGATTTACTTAATTCTGGTTTATCAGATTGTAGAAATCCATTAATTGTGATTTGTAACATGGTTTACATTTTAGCATAATGTATATATTTAAAGTATAGAGCTTTTTTGGTGTAATACAGGTAGTTCTTGGCTTACAACCATTCACTTAGTAACTGTTCAAAGTTACAACAGCTACTTATGACTGTTAGCCCTTTGTGAACTTAGTCCTTTGTGGCAGGGGTCTCCAAAACTTGGCAGGGGTCTCCAAAACTTGGCAACTTTAAAACTTGTGGACTTCAGCTCCCAGAATTCCTCAGCCAGTCATGATTACCTGAGGAACTGCCTTTCTTCCATGGTCCCGTCTTAAGACTGTCAACTGTGGCATAAGAAAGCAAATACTGTACCGAGATTAATATGCGCCTTAAGTGCAATGTCAAAACATCTGGAGCACCACTTGAACACCATCAGCATTGCCAAAATCCCCATCTGTCAATTGCAAAAGGGCGCTTTACTTGGAACAGCTGACATCCTGCAAGGATGTAACTTTTAACATTACAAACAGCTGCTTATCACAGGTCCTTGAAAAGACTCCACAGATGGATAAAAATGCCAAATGCAGCCTAAGTATCTGGCTGATTGTGCAACCAATGATAATAGGATGATGTTTATTCAACATGTTAACGTTTCTGGATTGGCATAAACCACAGAACCATGTGCTAGACCCAACGGCTGGGTGCGTACAATTCACCAGATTAAACTGTAGATGCTAGCTGGAGTGTCAGTGCATTGTGTAAATAAGTACAGCCCGTGCACTGTGTGAAGCCAGTCAATTGGATAGATTGAATAAATCATGTTTCAGTTACTCTTGTGATAACTTGTGTTAAGACAGTTGCTGTAGGGATGGATGCCGGACAAGGAGCTTAGGAGGGGCCAAACGGAGAACGAGCCGCTCAAATCCCGCGTTTAGAGGATCCCAAACTTTAGTGAAAGAAACCTGTTGAATCTCTGCCTATCGCCACATCTGTTGAAAAAGCGGCCAACCCAGCTACCGACGGGGCGGGAAACGAGAACTGCCTTGACCACTTGGATTTAATTTAGAGGGAGGGATGCCCAGGACACTTGGGGTTTCTGGAAAAAGACCCACACAGGAAACTCCCATCCTTCAGGAATTCGGCTCTTTGTGCCCTTATAAGGCCATTTCAACTCCTGGCCAATCAGCAAGAGGGAGGCGGCGCTCTCTTGGCCCCAAAACTTCGGGGAAGAAGAAGGAGGCGCTGAAAGCGGCGGCCCGCTGAGACGATCTTGAGCGCGTCTCGCCTTCGTTGGAGATTCCGTCCTGTTCCGGAAGAGGATGAGCAGTAACCAATTCAACAAGGGCCCCAGCTACGGCTTGTCTGCGGAAGTCCGAAATCGGGTGAGAAATTGGTGGCAGGGAGGCTGCCGCGGCCAGGTGCGCCCTGAGAGCGCACGGTTTTGGAGAGGCGCTTCTCCGTGCGCCCTGACGGAGGTGTGGCGCCGCGCCCTGAGAGAAGGCGGGGGCCGCGCGCGCTTCCCATTATAAGAGGGGGGGGGGGGGGCTCAGGGGAATTAAAGAAGCGGCTTCTGAGTTGAGCCGCCTCCGCCCCACAGGAGCAAAAGGGGGTTTTGCTCCCTAGAATTCCCGGCTGGTGCTTGAACATGCATTGGGGGGGGGGGCGTCGGCTACGGTTAAAAGTGGGCTAAAGAGACGCGTTTCTTTCCACTTTCTCATTTGGAATCTTGAACGTTGCAATGTTCTGTCGGGGAACTTAGGAACGTTCTATTTCAGAATGTTGGAACTCTCTTCTTGGGTGGCTTCTGCCGAGAACAAAAGTGAAGCGAAGTAGGGAGTGTACAGGAGGGTGGCCACAAAATCGCTTTCAGATGGTCAGCCTTGACTTATTCTCAGTCAAACTACCTCATTGGGTTGGGGGGAGCCCCAAAAAACCCGGAATAAGAGTTTGGTTGGCAACCTTGTATTCTTTGAAGGATGGGTGTGATTTAAGAAATCTGTGGTTGAAGGGCTGGGTAAAGGAGGGGACATTCTGAGCTTTCTTTTGCTGGTGGAATCGAGATAATCATGCAACGATTTATATTCTGCTTTTCTAGTGACCAAAACAATATACTGGTATTATTGTTGCTATGCTGGTTGATTACTTGGCTTCAAGGCCAAAACCGAAATCTGGTCATCATCTAGAAAGCCTTACAACACAGTGTGTCATCTGGCCGCATCAGGACCACCTGTCCCATATGAGGCTGACCATCCAATCTGAACACTGAACTGGAGGTTCTCTGAATGCCTCCCAAAAACAGGTCTAGGAAGCTTGGAATGGCAAACAAACCTTGTTATACCTTCCCACTTATGAAACATGCTCTCTCCCCGTCCCCCCCATGATTGACCCTGTACTTTCCTTTCATTCAGGAAGGCCCCGTCAAATATTTCAGCATGCCTAAGAGAATAAAGATATATCTGTTTCCTCTTGTTTTCCGCTATTATTTTGATGCGATTCCATTGCTTTATTGCTTGAGACTTTTTAAATTGCTGAGATATTTGCTATTATATTTCTTTTTGCAAGCCTTGTGAAGTAAATTTGTGAGGTGGCAATGAATCAAAAATGACTTGATGGCACAGAATCAATTTTTGCATGCCTCCCAAAGCCGCTGGCTAGATTGGGTCTATAAGGATAGATAGATGCCCAAGTTTTGTAATTTTTCCATATTCTTCATCTTGAAATGTTTTGATCACATCTGGTTTGGATAATCCTTATTGAAAAGAACAATTTCTTTACAGAATTCAAGGTGCTTGAGATCTGTTCATCTGCCAAAGTTCAACTTTCAGACTAATGCTGGAGTCACATTACTTTCCCAAAGTACCTTCTCTTTTGTTGGTTTTTGTTATAGTACAGTATTATTTCATCTCTGTAAAAGCCACAATATTCAGTGGGTTCAGCCACATTATTATTGTTGTAGTTATCATTATACAGCTGAAAGTCCCAAGTGATAAAGTACAGGTATTATTAAAAAGTTTGATGTAAGATAACAGTTTAACAAATAAAATACATTAAGCATTTAAAATGTGTTAATTTATTAGTAAAAGACCTTGTTTTATAACAGTGGTTAAAAATGTGGCTGTTGTCCTTGTAATTTTAGATTTTTTTAGCTGAGAGTAAAACATTTTTCAGCAATATCTTTCCTGGCCTTGAGTTTAAAATTAGGCCAGATAATACTCTGCCAAAAACTTTTGTAAAACTTATGCAATATGCAATAAAATATGATCCACAGTTTCAAGGTCAGTACCATTAGAGGGACAATATATTTGAGAAATGGAAATGTTTTGACATTTACTAATTAGCACATCTGATGGCAACGTATTTAATCTGGCTTTTGCAAAGGGTAGATTTATTTACAGCAGTGGTAGTCAGCCTGGTCCCCATCGTCCACTAATGGGAGTTCCAGCTTTCATGGTGGGCGGTAGGGGTTTTGTCCCCTACTTTATAAATCACCATTACTATGGAACCGGTGAGCAGTTAGAGAAAACTTTATTACTAACAGAGATACAAAAGTGGGTGATAGGTATAAAAAGGTTGACTACCCCTGATTTACAGTAAATGGAAAATGCTATGATAAATAGGAACCTACAATATCAAGAGGGTTCAAATTATACTTGGAAGTGGCACCATTAGTTTGAGTTTTCTTAGGAGCTTTGGTGGGTCGTAATAAAGTCTTAATAGTTTGTGTGTGCTAGATTCAGAGTGTATTTGTTCTTAGAGAAGTGATGGAAAGAGTTAAGCCCTGAGAAATAGAGAGTATCAATTTGCAGAAATACCATTAACCAGGCATCCTTAGCTAGGATATGTGAAACAATAAATTATCAGAAATGGATAAGTTTCATTGTCTTGGAATGATGAAAGTTATCATTTGCATGAGCAAAATGTCGGTACAAGTAGTCCTTGACTAACAACAATTTGTTTAGTGATTGAAGCATTCGAAGTTAGAATGGCACTAAAAAAAGTATCTTATGACCAGTTTTTACACTCACTACCGTTGCAACATCTCCATGGTCATGTCATCAAAATTCTGATGTTTGGCAACTGACTCGTATTATGATGGTTTGCAGTGTCCCGATGTCATGTGATTCCCTTTTGCAACCGCCTGACCAGCAAAGTCAATGGGGAGGCCAGATTCAAGTAACCGTGTTAGTAATTTAACAACTGCAGTGATTCACTTAACAAATGTGGCAAGAAAGGTTGTAAAATGGGGCACAGCTAACTTAACAACCATCTCACTTAGCAACAGAAATTTTGGGCTCTGTGGTGGTTATAAGTTGAAGACTACCGGTACTTTTAGTACAGGGGTGTCAAACTCGATTTCATTGAGGGCGGTATCAGGGTTGTGTTTGATCTTGGGGGCTGCGGGGTGTGTGTGGTATGGCGTGGCCGGGGGTCATGGCCAGCTTCATGTCACTCCTGTCGGGGCGCCTATGGCAGCCCGAGCGCTCCGCCAGCCAAAATGGGCTTCCAAGCTCCGTTTCCAGCTGGGACATCTCCTGCAACCCTCTGCCAGCCAAAATGGAGCTCGCATGGGCCACACATGGCCCTCCCAAGCTCCGTTTTTGCTGGCAGAGGCACTGTGGGCCGGTCCTTTGCTGTTTTTAGGGTGGCACCTAATCTAGCCCATGGGTCTTGAGTTTGACACCCCTGTTTGAGTTATTTGGTGAGCACCTAAAAAGTGTTCCCCAATTTATATAGAGTAAATTTTTGGTGAATTTCTTCTATGAGGTTGGATGCAAGTGAGCATCCCAAAACTGATCATTAGAATGCTAATGCCTGTATCTCTGAACTCATTTTCCCCTCCTAGGGCCGTGCAGGAAAGTCCTGCCTTTTTTTCAGTGAAAGTTTTGAGTTAAGATCAACTCTTAGTGACTTCATGACCACCCTGTGCTGTTTTCTTGGCAATAATATGGATGTGGCTTCCCACTGCTACCTTCTGCTTTGTTTTTTTCAGCTTTCCAGTCTAACCTGCTGGGCCTGAGATATCATAGTGGTCACCTGTCCAAGCACTAATGAAGGCTGGTCCTGCTTAGTTTTTTGGAGATCCATCTAGGTGTACTTTTTCAGTTTGATGAAAAAGCAATTCCATCCAAAGCAGTAAACATTTATAGTAAAGAGATTAAGGATGGGGAGAAGAGTTTTTGCAATTACTTATTTATTTGATAGCAAGAGATGTGTAGGTACACTTATGCTATCTTCCCATGCACGTACGCAATCATTTTTACGACTTTTCTAATTTCTCATGCCTCAAGAAGGAGTGCCTTCCACTGGACTTTTTTTTTTTTAATGTGGGGAAGGGTTAGGCTGCTAAAGGCAGAAAACATGGTCAGTAACAGGGCTTCTCATCTACAATTTGGAAGATGCCACTAAGAATGGAAAGATGTTCTCAACTCCTAAAATCAGAAACTATCTTTGGAGGGGGGGAAAATCCAAATCAAATTTCAGCACAACTTTTTTCCTCCCCTGTGAATAGCACCTATCTTAAAGGAGTTAAGTAGGCCAAGATCTTAGTAAGGCTGGCATGACCTTAATCTCTGAAAGGAGGTGACAACGTTCTCCTGAAATTTGAATCAACGTCACTTCTGTCTTATTTCTGAAATCTCGCATTTGCTCTGTTTCCTGTTCCTTCTCACCCACTGGATGCTTCCACTTGTTTTCCCCTGTTGATTCTTGGCATTAAACCAAGAGCAGCCACTCCTGGGGAACATTGTGTAACCACACTTCTTGGGTCTGTGAGAGGTTGGGAGTTTTCCTCTGCTTGACCTCTAGGGTAAGGAGCACATTATTGACCCCCTTGTGGGATGGCTAATCTTTTTTCTCTCTCAGCTGTTGGAAGGCTTGAATGCTAAAGAAAAAACCTGAATTATAAAGGAGTTTCAATTGGATTAAAAAAATAAAACCATCTTGGCTGTGGCTGAGAGTGAATCTGATCCAAAAGCTTGTTTAATCCAGATAGCTCAGCTCTGCTCGAGAGGTGATGCAAAGGAGAGAAGGAGAATAATTACCATCCCAGTTCCAACTATTTATCCAAATGATAGCCTCTCAAAGGAAGGTAGATCCCGCAGGTTTAATTTTCTGTGCCATGGCTCATTTGTATGGGTATTGCGTTCCACTTGGTTAAACAGTTAACTGGGGAACTGTTGAAGATAGATGTGTAGAGCTGGTGACTTTTCCAAAAAGAAGAAACTAGAATTTGTGAGCTGGAGTCTCCATCATAATAACTTGGAAATATATACGGGTAGAACTTGACTTACGGTATTTCGTTTAGTGACTGTTCAAAGATACAACAGCACTCAAAATTTGGATGCTTGGCAACTGGCTTATATTTATGCAGTGTCCCGGGGTC